TACTACTACTACTTCAACTTCTACCACTTGAAACTACTACTATTACTTCAACTTCTACCACTTGAAACTACTACTACTACTTCAACTTCTACCACTTAAAACTACTACTACTACTTCAACTTCTACCACTTGAAACTACTACTACTACTTCAACTTCTACCACTTGAAACGATCTTGAATCACCTCAAAAATACATCTCAAAGAAGTAAATAAATCAAAAAAAGAATTTGTTTTGGCACGTTGTAACATTTTCAATGGATGACGTCATCCATTGAAAATTTATCTAACGCCAAATAAATTATTTTTTTTTTCGTGCATGGCTTCACTACTACTACTACGACTACTACTACTACTACTACTACTACTACTACTACTACTACTACTACCACTACCACCACTACTACTACTACTACCGTAAATAATACTTCTATTAATTAAAACTATTACTAAAACTCTATGCAAATACTATTACTACCTCTACTACTACTACTACTACCACCACCACCACTACTACTACTACTACCGTAAATAATACTTCTATTAATTAAAACTATTACTAAAACTCTATGCAAATACTATTACTACCTCTACTACTACTACTACTACCACCACCACCACTACTACTACTACAACAACAACTACTACAACTACTATCACATGACTATGGTAGTATGATACAAATATGACATGATGTGATCTTGCGAATCTCTGATATATGTTTGTATAATATGACTACTACAACTACTACAACTACAACTACTACAACTACAACAACTACAGCTTCTATTACTACAGCTAATATGGCGTCATGCTACTACAACAACTACTACAGCTTCTACTACTACAGCTAATATGGCGTGACACTACTACAACTACTACTACTACAGCTGCAGCTGCTGCTGCTGCTACCACTACTACTACTACTGAAATCATAAATACATACGTATGTCACTCTTAGTTATTTCTCTCCTTGATATCTGTCTCTCAGTCTTCAGGTACTCATAGAGCGTAGGACCGAGTATTTTTATGGTGTTCGTCTGCACCCAAGCTAGATTGGGTAGAATTAATTATAGATAATTATAGCTTATTATAAATAATTATGATTGTAGTAATTATGATTTTAGTAATTATGGTTGTAGTAATTATGATTGTGGTAATTATGATTGTAGTAATTATGATTGTGGTAATTATGATGGCAGTAATTATGATTGTGGTAATTATGATTGTAGTAATTAGGATTGTAGTAATTATGATTGTAGTAATTATGATGGTAGTAATTATGATGGTAAAAATTATGATTTTAGTAATTATTGTTGTAGTAATTATGATTGTTGTAATTATGATTGTAGTAATTAGGATTGTAGTAATTAGGATTGTCGTAATTATGATGGTAGTAATTATGATGGTAAAAATTATGATTTTAGTAATTATTGTTGTAGTAATTATGATTGTTGTAATTATGATTGTCGTAATTATTATGTAATTATGATGATGATAATAATGATAATGATGATAATGATGATGATTATTATTATTATTATATTTAACTTTTTAAATATCTCCCAGATATACACAGTCCGATGAAGAACTCAATGACACAAATGCAGCAGAATATCAATAGGAGGTTGACTAGGACTTCTAGAATGAGTGAATGAATGAGTGGATGAATGAATGAATGAATGAATTAATTAATTAATTAATTAATGAGTAGATGAATGAATGTGGAAATAGATGAATAAATAGATGGATGAATGAATGGATAGATGAATGAATGAATGGAAAAATGAATGAATGAATGAATGAATGAATGAATGAATGAATGAATGAATGAATGAATGAATGAATGAATGAATGAATGAATGAATGAATGAATAAATGAACGAACAAACAAACAAACAAACAAACGAACGAACTAATGTATGAATGAATGAATGAATGAATGAATGAATGAATGAATGAATGAATGAATGAATGAATGAATGAATGAATGAATGAATGAATGAATGAATGAATGAATGAATGAATGAATGAATGAATGAATGAATGAATGAATGAATGAATGAATGAATGAATGAATGAATGAATGAATGAATGAATGAATGAATGAATGAATGAATGAATAAATGAATGAATGAATGAATGAATGAATAAATGAATAAATGAATAAATGAATGAATGAATGAAGGGGGCGAAAATTCTTCATGTACGAACTTGGCCTTCTGGCATACTTTATAGCTTTTTAAATAATCATTCATTATTCATTTTGTTTTATTTTCATTCCGTTCGTCCATTCCTTCCTTCATTCATTCATTGCTTCCTTCATTCATTCATTTACCAACCAACCATTCATCCATCTGTTCATTCACCATCCATATATATATATATATATATATATATAATGAATGATTACATAAACAAATAAGTGATTGATTGAATTAATTAAATTGTAAACAAACTAATGAATGAATGAATGAATGAATGAATGAATGAATGAATGAATGAATGAATGAATGAATTACCAAATAAATGAACCAATGAACGAATGAATGAATATGCCAGTAAATTATATTACCTTCCTTTTCATCTAAATATTCATCATATTCTTCCATTTCTGTTCATAAGTCGTAAATTTCAAAATATATGATCTTTATTTAATTATTTAAATTATAATTATTTAATTGATTAATTGATTGATTGATTGACTGACTGATTAATGGTTGGTTTGTTGATTTGGCGAATGATTGTTTGATCGATTGCTCGATTGCTCGATTGAATGAATGAATGAATGAATGATTGATTGATTGATTGATTGATTAATTGATTGATTGATTGATTGATTGATTGATTGATTGATTGATTGATTGATTGATTGATTGATTGATTGATTGATTGATTGATTGATTGATTGATTGATTGATTGATTGATTGATTGATTGATTGATTGATTGATTGATTGATTGATTGATTACTTTTACCTGCCCAATTTTTTTGGAAAAACCCTATAATGAAAAAAATTACGTCACAAAGATTAATTGACGTATTTAAAATTTGTATACTAAATTTTAGTCACGTGATGCGTTGAAAATTACGTCACCACCATCATCATCTTCATCAACATCATCATCATTATCATCATCGTCAATGTCTACTTAAACTTCATTTTATAAAGCGAATTCGTCACAATTTATTTAGGTTTTTTTTTTGTTTTAGCGTCGTCTTCATCATCACCGCCTCCTCCTCTCCCCCCCATCACAATCTCACCTGATTGAATAATCTTCAGAACGCAGTACAGAGAGTTTGTACCCCCTCCCCCAACAGCATTTCCACCCCCAGCCATGTTTCCAGATGGGGCTAAGTTGGCTTGCTCCTGTATGACCACCGCCCCTTGTCCAAGGGCCCCCACCGCGGCAAGTTGTACCCCATTCGCAAGGGGGATGGTGTTGTCGTCGAATGTTACCGCCCACCATTTCGGCCCTGGTTCGGTGTTTTTGCAGTGCCATCTAAGGGGGTGATTTTTTTGGCGGGGTTTGGGTGGTGCCATTTGATTTTGAGTAGTTATTTGTGGGTGTATATATTTGTATGGGTGTGTGTGTGTGTGTGTGTGTGTGTGTGTGTGTGTGTGTGTGTGTGTGTGTGTGTGTGTGTGTTTGTAAGTGTAAGTGAATGTATGATGAGTAAGCTGAACAATTTTTCTGCAAAGTTTTACTTTCATAATGAAAAATATTCTCTCTATCATCATCACCATCACCACGGCCACTATCATTATCATCATCATCATCACCCATCATTATCACCATCCCCAACATCATCATCACCATCGTCAGCCCCATAGCTACTAACTTAACTAATGTTTTGTTGTTAAGACCTTTTTTGTGCCAGGCGTAGAGGGCCGGTGGCTGTTTGGTGTTTGTTGTCACGAAAGCCACTTTAGCCGTCACTGGCGTCACCCTTATGACGTCATAAGCGTCTGGACATCCTGATGATGATGATGATGATGATGACGACGATGATGATGATGTTGAAGGAGATGATGATGATGACGACGAAGAGATGATGATGACGATGATGATGAAGAAGATGATGATGACGACGACGATGATGATGATGATGCTACCTCTGGTGAATACGTGGTGAACTGGCTCTCCATTAATGAACATGGATTGAATTTGCTCCGACCCACACACTTTTATATCTAGTTCATTCATTCATTCATTAATTCATTCTTTCAATCATTCATTAATAATTATTTAATCCATTTATTCATCCATTCATTCATTCATTCATCCATTAATTCATTCATTCATTCACTTATATTTTTGCTGGTTGGTCATGTTTTAATAAGAATAGAAGATGATGATGATGATGATGACGATGACGTCACTAACAATCCGAATGAATTGTCGGCTTCGACTCGGCCAACTCCACCACCGACAAGACCACCAACACCACCGCCGTCCCCCTAATCATAGTTCAGCCACTGATTGTATTCTATTCCAAACATTCATAATAAAGTGACCAATAAAAGTATTAATAATATTCATAATTATAACTATAATTATGAATATTATTGTGAATAATAATAATTATAACAATAACGAACTTTTTTTTTTCCCGGAGCGTCTGTTTACAAATTTGCGTCATGCAATCTCATACGGTCCCATTTTATTAATATTAATAATTCATAATAATAATAATATATAATAAATAATAATAATAATAAATAATAATAATAATATGAAAGTTCTGATCATGCTGTTTTAACTATTTTAACTATCATTGAAAAATAAAAATTATGAAGAATTAAATTAATAACAATAATAACTTTAATAATTGCCATACTATTATAATGATTATTATTACTATGAATATAATTATTATGTTTATTATTATTATTAATATTATTATGAATATTATTATCTTTTTGTTTTTTTTTTTCATAAAATAAATAAATAGATATCTATATGTATTTTGAATTTAGCGTTCATGCATTCAATGATAATTTTATCATTATTATTTATTATTATTTATTATTATTATTTTTATTACTTATTATGATTGCTATTATTATTATTATTATTATTATTACTATTATTAGGGCTGTTTTCAATGAAATAAATTTAATTTATATATATATATGTATGTATATATAATTATATATATATATATATATAAATAATTAATTATAAATTTATTATTATTATTTTTATTAATAATTATGTTAATATTACTCTTCCTGGCCTTGACATTCGCAGATGTGAGCATGAATAATTTGACTTCAGGTTATATGTAATATATTAACATATATTAATATATATTAGTATATGCTTTTAAAGTTCTTATCTCAAAAGCGTTCATTAACATTTGCTAAAGCAATTTGTGTCTAGAAAACATTTCATTGATCGAAGAGAAGAGATAAATCTTTAAAAGTTTTTTGAAATTCTTGACCTGAGAGACCAGGTTTTGTAAGGTAGACTGTTCCATACTTCTGGGCCATTATGAGAAAAATTTCTTGAACCGATCTTTAAACGTGATGATGGATGGTCCACCAAGTTTTTATCGTCATGAGGTAAGTTGTATGGTTTTGAAAGCGCCTCTTTAGAAGTGCATCTATCAGCTAAATACTTCGGAGCGAGTCCAATCTAGACCTAAAGCATCAGAAGCGAAATTTCAGACATAATTCTTTGATCAATCTTCAACCAATGTAGTTCTCGGAGTATCGGAGTCAAGTGGTCATATTTTGCAGCTCCCACAACAAGCTTGGCAGCACGGCTTTGAACGAGCTGAAGCATTCATATCATCTTGTCAGGTAGACCAAAAAACAAACTATAGCAATAACCTAATCCGGCATGTACAAATGCACGGATCAAACACAATGGACTATATCTCTTTGAAGCGATCTTCTAACAATCCTCAACATGAGCAGCTGATTCGAGCAAGTACTTTTAAGGAATATTACGTGATGATGCATTGTCAGCTGTGGGTCCAGGATGCAACCCAAGTTGACAACCTTGGAAGAAAATTTAACCTCCTGGTCTTTAATGACAGCTGAATCGATTTTAATCATTGAGAGCTGTTGTCGTAGCAACTTTAAAAACTTGTCCAGCAACTTTAAAAACTTGCCTAACAACTTTAAAAACTTGTCCAGCAACTTTAAAACTTGCCTAACAACTTTAAAAACTTGTCCAGCAACTTTAAAAACTTGCCTAACAACTTTAAAAACTTGTCCAGCAACTTTAAAAACTTGCCTAACAACTTTAAAAACTTGTCCAGCAACTTTAAAAACTTGCCTAACAACTTTAAAAACTTGTCCAGCAACTTTAAAAACTTGCCTAACAACTTTAAAACTTGCCTAACAACTTTAAAAACTTGTCTAGCAACTGTGAAATTTAAAAAATTCACTGACATATCATATACAACTGGTATCAAAAATAAATAACTGATATATATAAATATACATATTATATACTATAAATATATATATTATTAACCATAATATTAAATGAATGCATGTGTGAATGAATAAATGAATGAATAAACGAGTTTAATATCTTATCTGCTAATGTTACCCAAATCAATCAACAAATCAACAGGCATATATCCAATGAAACACATCACTTATAATATACTTAATTAAGATAAATTATTTTATTATTATATCCTTTTCATAATTTTATTCACTCAAGTATTCAAGATCGTAATGAACCGACATTCGATGCTATTCGTGAATGGTAAGGAGCGTTTCTTCAATCAGTTTGTCTACGATGTAGATGCCAGCGGGTCGAGCAATCTCATGGCAATCTCCGTAACTGTTGATGTGCCGATAAAAGTCAGGATGGTTCATTCGTTCGTTCATTCATTAATTCGTTCGTTCATTCATTTATTCGTTCGTTCATTCATTTATTTGTTCATTCATTCATTCATCCATTCTCAAAATGGCCGTCCGCAAATTGAAAAAGGTCCTGGCGGTACAAATCAGACGAACGAGCAAGTTCACCCACGGACTGATGATCGAGAGCACTTCCGGCGATGACGTCAGCACGAATTCAAGATGGCGCTGCACGGAGAAGTACCCTGGCCAGGGATGGACTAAACTGGATTTCGACGAAACTGATATAGCGCACGCAGTTGAGTACGAACGGAATGGGGACGATGATGACAGGGGCGGGAATTATCCGACGAAGATAAAAGGAATTTCCGCCAGGGCGATATGGATTGGGACGAAAAACAAGGACGCTGCTCAGATGTTTTGCCGGATGTCTGGTGCGTTCATGATGATTATTGTAATGATGATGGTGACGATGGTGATGATGACGACGATGATGTTGATGGTGGTGATGATGGTGACGTGATAATAGAATTGATGGCTACAAAGGTGATGATGATAATGATGATGGTGATAGTGATGATGATAGTGGTGATGATAGTGATGATGATAGTAATGAAGGCGATGGTGATGATGATGTTCTAAACCAAAAAAGTACAGGATATCAAATTGGAGAGAGAAGAAGCGAGCACCAGGACGACGATGTTGCTGCTTCTGCTACTTCTTCTGCCTCTAATTGCACTTGGCGCTCTGGTCGCTCGGAAGATTACTAATCAGTTTCAGTTTTGTTAGTGGATGGAAGGATGAATGACGATTGGAGGAATGGATTTATTGATGGATTGATGTATGGATAGATGAATGAATGGATGAATGAATGAACGAATGAATGAATAAATGAATGAGTTATTTAATTAATTAATAGAGGGTAAAACATTGCCCAGTTAGAGAGTAAATTTTGTGAACATGAAGTTAGTAAAAAAAATTTACTTCATATCTTTTCAGTAAAAAAAGAAGAAACTGATCAAAAAACAGGTGAATATCAATTGCAATTGAGTTAAATCATCCATTTATTCATCTATCCATCCATCAATCTATCCGTCCATTCATTCATTCATTCGTTCATTCATTCGTTCATTCATTCATTCATTCGTTCATTCATTCATACATCTATTCATTCGTTCATTCACCCACCCATTCATTCATTCATTCCTCTATACTGCCAATCCCTTATCCATTAATTCATCCATCCATTCATTAATTCATCCATTCATTAATTCATTCATTCAGCCCTAATAGACAGAGCCATAGACGAGGTTAATCGGACGGGACGCCCAAAGACATTCATGGTCGTCCCTAAAGGGAATGTCTCAGTCAATGATGGTTAACCAATTAATCCATAATTATAATTATAATTAGTTATTATGACTATAATTATCGTATAATTATGACTATAATAACTGTAATAATAACCGTTATTTTTCATTATTTGATGATAAATTCTTTTTTTTTTACAATTTTATCTCAATCTCTATGTGTAAAGATCTCGAGAATGTGGTGAGAGTTAGATACGTTTATGACGAAGGAGTCGGAAAAGGTTTATAGTTATTATTATAATTATAATAATAATTATTATTATTATAATTATATTTATATTATAATAATAATTATATTATATTTTATTATAATTATAATAATTATTATTATAATTATCATTATTATTATTATTCTAAATACTATCATCATTATTATCATCGTTATCACTAATCGAATAGGCAAAACGAAGCAAGAGACTATTAGAGAAAAAGCGAAGGGTAAGATTTAAAAAAATTCCCAGTTCAATTATTCATCATACTAGGAAGTGGACAAATCCGAGAGTCCCATAGTCTGACTCTTGGTCCGGATTTAACTTCACGGATTGCCTAATGGTTAAGGCGCCTGGTCCTGATTTCGTGGTGACCAGGTTCAATCGCATGCTAATCCCCCACCTATAACATGCTAGAGAGAGATAGAGTTGTATTAAAAAATTCATATATTCATCCATCCATAATTATATTATTTATAATTAATTATTGTAATAATTATATTTAGTTATGAATTGATTTTTCATATTTATTAGTCACACCAATGGTAGAACTGGCGGAAAGATTGCGAAACGTTAAAGACGCCTTGTTACATAGTACGTAGAAAGTCAATTATAGACTCAATGATGGCTCAACGGTTAGAGGCGCCTGATCTTGCTCTTGCAGTGACTGGGTTCGAATACAAAGAGATCCCCACCTATCATATACAATGTGTATGATGCGTGGTTTTCACGCGTGTTCATATTCGCTGTGTGTGTTTTTCGCTGAAACCTCTGAAGCAAGTGCAAAAGAGAGTGTAACATTTAACCTTTAACCTTATTCGATAATTTTTTTAAAACGAAAATTATGAAATTATTAATAATGAAATTATTAATAATTTATATAAAATATTTTCTAACGTAATTTATAATTAACTATAATAAAAAAAGCCTCCCAGACAGACCAATCACCAACCGATAAACCGCAACCGCAGCAGCAACCGCAACCGCAACAGCAACCGATTCTGCAACAGCAGCAACAGCTCTACGAACAACAGCAGCAACTTCAACAGGAGCAGCAACTACTGCAGCTGCAGCAGCGACAAAACTTCACCCAGCAACAGCCTCAAGAGACCAAATCGCCAGAAAATTTGAAAAGTAAAAAATCTCTCTCTAGAACTAAAAGTAAACCCAGACGCAAATCAACTAAAAGCAGATCTAGAAAACGAAAATCATCGTCGTCATCATCATCTACATCATCGTCATCATCATCTTCAAAACTTAACAACCAACCCCAAAAACAAACCCTAGATCTAAACTCTACCCAAAAAGAACTACTGGAGCAAATAAAAATGCTTCAAAATAAGTTAGACAACAGACAGGACGTAACAACGCAGAGTTTTCTAGCCACAAGACAACGTCAACCTCTCGAAAACTTCTCGCCACAGCTTGGCGATGCCAACCAGCAAAATACTGAAAATGTTTCACCGGCTCTCCGCGGTACCAGCCACCAGCAAAATGTTGAAAATTTTCCGCGACTGTCCGGCGACACGAGCCAGCAGCATCAATATCTCCTCCAGAAACCCCCAATTCAACCGTCACATCTCAATAGATTTCCCAACCAACAAAACTTCACCCAACTACAACACCACCAACAACAACAGCAACAACAACTGCAACATCAACAACAACTGCAACAACATCAGCAACTGCAACATCAACAACAATTACAACATTATCAGCAACAACTACAGCAACAACAACAAAATAGCAGAGGTGATATAAAAGAAATTCAACAGAAATTGGTGAATAAATATCTACAAGACAATCCGCAACAACAGCCAACAACTCCTACTGCTACAAATAAAACTAGTTAGTTGATAGATGAACAAAGGGAATGAACGAACGAACGAACAAACGAACGAACGAATGAATGAACGAACGAACGAATGAATGAATGAATAATTGATTGAATAAATTCATTGAACGAACGGCAAAATGAAAATTTACTCCATTCAGAGTCCACAAACTCATCCGTCAACCTACCTCTCAAAGGTTTAATCATGGTGATGACGACGACGATGATGATGATTTCAATGATTTGATGATGATGATAATCATAATGATAATGATGATGATTAATCATATTTTTTTTGGACCCAGTTAAATCTCAGAGCAAGAAGATAAACTACAGTTAGCAGTAGTAATTCAGAATTATTTCATCATTAACATTCATTTTTGTAAAAATGTTTCGATTTAGATTTGCCAATTTTCTATTTGTCTCTCTCTCTCTTTTTCTCTTTCTTTCTTTTTCTTTCTCTCTCTTTCTCTTTCTCTTTTTCTCTCTTTCTCTCACTTTTACTCTTTTTTTTAACTCTTCTCTCTTTCTGGCTATCTCAATCGTTCCTTCATTCAGCCTTTTTCAGTCTTTCTCTGTTCTTTAAAATTTCAGCTTCCTTCTCATCATCCTCTTTATATTTTTTATTCAGGCCTCTTTCGTTCTTTCTCTCTTTCTTTCTCTCCCTCTCTCTCTTTTTCTTTTTTTCTTTTTCTCTCTCTTTTTCTCCCTCTCTCTCTTTCTCTTTCTTTCTTTCTCTCTTTCTCTTCCTCTCTCTTTTTCTCTTTCTTTCTCTCTCTCTTTCTCTCCCTCTCCCTTTTTCTCTCTTCCTCTTTTTTCTCCCTCTCTCTCTTTTTCTCCTCTCTTTTTCTATCTCTCTATCAACCTTCTTTTCTTTTATTCATTTTGATTCTCTTTATATCAGCCACTTACGTTATTAAAATTTGAAATGGGTGCCTCGGACGAGAAATACTGTAATTATATAAATTCCATTTGATCGCGCACACACGAACAAACACACATACACAAACACACACACACACACACACATATACACATACACAGTATTTTTATTTTTCAAGTTTTAAAACTTCTCGGCCAAATGCCGGCTCATCAAGGAAAAAATAATGGTATTTTTTTCATTTCACTCATTCACCCATTTATCTTTTCATTCGTTTGTTCATTCATTCACTTATTTTCATTTCTACCTATACATTCATTCATCCATTCTGTCATTCATTCATTCATTCACTCATTCCTCTTGTATTATTCCACTAATCCGCCTATAAAAATATTTAAATACATAATTCAATAATCAATTTATTCATCCATTCATACATTTATTCAGCCATCCATCAATCTATCCATGTATCCATCTATGCATTTATTCATCCATTCATTCATCCATCCATTCATTCATTCGTTCATCCATTCGTTCATCCATTCGTTCATCCATTCATTCATCCATTCATTCATCCATTCATTAATTCATCCATCCATTCATTCATTCATTCATCCATTCATCCATTCATTCATTCATCCATTCATTCATTCATTCATTCATTCATTCATCCATCCATCTATTCATTCATTCATTCATCCATTCATTCATTCGTTCGTTCACAGATGAGAAAGTTCTACGTGCTTTTAGCATAGCGAAGAAAAAATCTTCCAACTTTTCGCGTTATTATTTTTCCCCGTGTTGCTGCTTTGTAGCATTGCATGAGTGATGATCACACGCACACACGCACATACACACACACACACACACAAACATACACACACGCACACACACACACGCACACGCACACACACACAGCCACCTCTACAAAGAAGTCCGTGCACATCACAGCCCCCGCAAAGACCCCACCACCACCACTATCGCCTTCCCTGACGGACATTTCCCTCATGACGTCATCGTCAGTCGACAAAAACAACAAAAAAATAAAAATACCGAAATCGGCGCCGCTAACGGCGAAGCCACACAAGCGGCTGACGGCTGAGCAGGAAAGACTGCAGCGACAAGTAGCTTACCAGCAAGCCACGCAGGCTCTTAGAGATCGCGCTCTTGTCGCTGCTGCTACTGCAGCTGCAAAACTTAAAATCGAGAAAAATGATGATCGGGCTGTTGAAACTTTCGGCAAAACAACCAACGAAGCATTGCCGATGCAAACATCGCCGGTTCAAATCGACACGCGTGCACAAACCGCAACTACTGCAACCACAACAGCTGCAGCTACTACAACCGCTCCAACGACAACAATAGCTGCAGCCACACCACAACAGCTGCAGCAGCAATACTTACAGCAACAACAGTTAAACCAACTTCTACTTCAACGCCAACTTCGATACCAGCAACTTCTCAACCAACAGCGTCGACTGCAGCCGGTTGCAGCAACCAACCTGCTGCAACAGCAACAACTACACCAACAAGTTAAACAACTCATAGACCAAGAGATGTATCAGAGACATCAGCAGCAGCAGCAGCAGCAAATTCAGCAGCGACACCAACAGCTTCTCCTACAGCAGCAGCAGTTGCTGGAGGAGCAGCGCCGTCAAAACGAAGACCCAGAGATGATCAAGCAAAAAATTTTGAAAGAACTGAAGGAGAAAATTAATGAGAAAAAAAGTAAAATCGCTCTGACTACTGAATTACTACCACTACTACAACTACCACTACCACTATTACAACTACTACTACACCTACTACTACAACTACTACTACTACGACTACCACTACCACTACAACAACTACTACTACTTATTACTATCAATACTGCTACTACTACCACTACCACTACTACAACAACTACTAATACTACCAATAATGCTACTACAACTACTACTTACTACTGCTGCTGCTGCTACTACTACTACTACTACTGCTGCTACTACTAACAATAATTATTATCATAATAACAATAACTATAATAGTAATGATAATAATATAATAATAATAATAATACATTATTTTGTTGATGATCTAAACAAATTTTTATAACTTAAAGGTAAAAGTGAAAAGAATTTTCATCCCACAAAAAGGAAGACTTGAAATTAAAAATTATTTTTATTATTATTATTATTATTACTATTATTATTATTACTATTTTAATTGTTATTATTATTATTATTATTATTATTATAATTATTATTATTATTGTTAGTAATAGTAGTAGTAGTAGTAGTAGAAGTAGTAGTAGTAGTCTTCGTCGTCATTGCAGTAGCTGTTGTAGTGGCGGTGGTATCAGATCAGTAGTACTGTTATTATTATTTTTATTATTATTATCATTCTTATTATTATTCCTATTATTTGTTGTATTTGTTGTTGTTGTTTTCTAAAATTATTTTGGTCTTATCAATGAATTATTATTATTACTATTATTACTACTATTATTATTAATATAATTATTATTATTACCATTATTGTTATTTTTATTATTGTCATTATTATTCCTATTTTTAAATCATGGAAGAATGTGTACAGTTAATGAATAATTGTCGAGAGGTACCCGCCTGTCAGACTTGTTTTCAGGGCTTTTCCTTCAAATAGACAAAGAAACGAACAAATAAATTAAATAAATTAATTAAATAAAATAATTTAGAAAACAATAAATAAACCAAACGACATGGCCTGGGAGATTTCTTAGTCTTTGCCAGGCCATCAAGGTCAAAGTCCAGTGATCGATTCATTGGGCAGTTTTAGCTCACTACAGATATAATGCAACAACTGATTCTAACAATAGATTCAACAGCGGATAAAACTGAATTTGTTATTCCTCAAAGTCAGTCAGTCAGTCACTGGAACGATACGAATGATAAGATAGAAGTCTGTTACACAATGTCGCATAGATGCCTGATCTAGTATCTTCTAGACATGCCCTATGACATGAAGAGAAGCAAGATAGAATAGAACAAGGAAATGCGGCAACGATACAGGGTATAGATTTTTCAAACCAATTCTTCTTCAGCACTTTAATCCATTTATCTGTATGTAGTGCTAAGCGAAAGAGCTTTTTCATCACTATTCTGTTTTTATCTTGCGTAGCTACTGACTTATCACAAAACCGATGAATTTTGATATTAAAGTTTAAATTTCAGTTGTTTTAAATCAACGAAGCCAACTTTTGTCATGATTTTTTTTTATGAACCCAAGTTTTGAACAATTGCATGTACATAAACAATCTATATTCATTAATAATATATATATATATATATATATATATATATATATATATATATATATATATATATATATATATATATATATATATTACGAATTCCATTTCCATGCGGGAGACCGGAATCAGTTTGCGATTGAACCCGACCAACACTCCACACCAACAAAAGACGTATCGAATCGCAAAGAAAGCCACAAAGAAAACTACAAGTAGATCTCATAACAAAGATAACAAATGATTGATAGGACAAATTTATAGATCTTTGTTAATTTTATTGAAGTCATTGAATTTAAAAAATGTTCCCGCCGAAATAAATGCTCATAAATATGCATTGTTACGTAAAATAATTTAACCCTACACACACACACGCACACACACACGCACACATACATACATACACAAATATGTATATATATACGCATATAGAACATTAATAATAATAATAGCAATAATAATAAAAAAAATAAGATGGAGAAGAATGATTGATCAATGGAAGCTTTGTTTGGCGAACTGTAAGGCCTCTTTGTACTTATCTGTTTCAGTTGCAATTCATTAATTCATTTGTTCATTTATTTATTTGTCATTCATTCATTAATTCATTCATTCGTTGATTGATTGATTGATTGATTAATCGATTCATTAATAAAATCATTCGTTCGTTCGTTCGTTCGTTTGTTAGTTTGATTGATTAATTGATTAATTCATTGATTGATTGATTGATTGATTGATTGATTAATCGATTCATTAATAAATTCATTCATTCGTTCGTTCGTTCGATTGATTCATTCATTAATTGATTGATTGATCGATTAATTGATCCAATTTTATTATCACATATTAACTTATTGAACGTCCGTTTGTACGATGGCAATACAACCTTTGTAAGATCTGTCGGTTAGTGAATTTATAATGATATCAATCAATTAATCGTTCAATCAATCAATCAGTCAATCAGTCAATCAATCAATCAATCAACCAACTAACCAACCAATCAATCAATCAATCAATAAATCAATCAATCAATCAATCAGAAAACAAACTCTAATTTATTCCTTGAAGTTGATAGCTTTTCTGTGATGTATATTTTGTCGAAGTGTCATAACTTTAATCATTGTTATAACTAATTATATTAACTAATTATTATGGTTATAATAGTAATAATAATTATTAACGCCGTCATAATTATCTCCGTGATAATTTTAATCATCATCATCATCATCGTCGTCGTGATCATAATCATGACTTACTCGAAGACCTTGTCTTACCCTCAAATTTGGTTCCATGTTGCCTGGAAATAATAAAGAAATGTTAATGAATTATAAAACCATCATCATCGTCATCATCATCACAATCATCATCATCATCATCACAACCATTATCATCATCATCTTCTTCATCATCCCAACCATCAGCATCGTCGTCGTCATCATGGTCAACTTCATCATAATCATCATCAACACCATCATCATCATCATCATCAACACCATCATCATCAACTTCATCATCATCTNCATCATAAGCACCACCA